TCTGAAAGAAAATGATGAATAGAGTATGCAACATTTCCTAAACTTATTTGCTCTTGAAATTCTTTTTTTCCCCTTAAATGAGCATATTAAAAGGCCTAATGTTCTGCAGAACACATTTTGGGAAGCATTACATCATTTGATTATAACATTATTTTTAGCTTCGTTCTATGTGATATTTAATCATGAACAAGTGTTTACCACGCAATGATTTTGAATCAGACAGCATAGACGCAGAGGTTAACAGAATGTAAGAGTTAAAGGAGGATGCTTAAGAGATTTGTGCTGGGTCATTTTGGAGAAGCAGTGGTTTTCATGAATAACTAAATGTCAGTTTATTTTTCTTTGTGTTTTGTTCCCCAGCCCAGTCCAGATGGGCCCCAGGTCTCAAGTGGAGTTAGGCAAGGCTCAAGCTGAGATCCTGACTACATTTTCCTTATCAATCCTCAGATAATAATCATAACAACAACAATCATAATAAAAAATCAAATTTATATTGACCACATCCATGCCAGGCACTGTGCTAAGCACTCTTCATGGATTATCTTCCCAAATCCTCAACGTAGGTACTAGTATTACAACCATTTTACAGGTGAGGAAACTGAGGCACAGAGTCACCAGTAGCTTGCGCACAGGTAGCAGGAAATGGCAGAGTCAGGATTTGAACCTGGGGCCTTAACACTAGGGGTTGTGTTCTTGAACCATTCTGCTATATAGCCTACCACCCTCCAAAAAGGCAGATCAGCCTGAAAAAAGACTTGTCTGTCTGTCTTTCTTTTTTTAATTTATTTATTTTGGCTGCACTGTGTCTTAGTTGCAGCATGAGGCATCTTCGTTGCGACATGCAATATCTTCAGTTACACACACACACACACACACATGAAAACTTCTACCTGGTTTTGTTGTCTCTAAGTTTTCACTTAAAAACCAGGACACGCATTCCCACCATGAAAATCTTTCCAGATCCCTGCTCTGCATGACACGCTACTTTACTCACTTCAACAACTTCAGGGCTTCCCTTGCTCAAAGGAAAATTCTTAGTCCCTGAGTAGGGCATTCGGACTGATTGCTGTTTCCCTCCCCAGTCTATCTCCCATAATCTCCCCTTCTTGGGCAGATGTTTCATTGCTGCCAAAACAAGTGAAGCCATTCCTACCTCTGTGCCTTTGCTTCTCTCTGTTCTCCAGCCTGTAGTGCCCTCCTCTCTGTTGTTTGCTTCTCTGAGCCCTTTCCTGACCTTGGAAATCCCCCAACCTCTAAGATGCTATTTCAGCAGAACTCAGCTCATAGCAATCCTTCCCTTCTCTGAACCTCCTTGGAGAACCTACAACCTGTGACCCTGGTCATCTGTCCAACCTCTTCAGCCTCAGTCTTGGTTATTGTAAACTAAGTATAAAAACAGCCCCTGCCTCATAGGGTTCTTGTCCCAGTTGGAATATGTAGAGCACACGATAAACCTAGCATTGTACTTGGCTCAAAGCCACAAGGCAAGTGCCCAATAAATGAAAGATAATATTAGTGAGAGTTAATATTAACATTTAATTTTTATGACTGCATGATGCTTTGTGTTGTTTGACTCTCTCATGAGGGTAGACCTCTTGAGAATGGGGATCAAATCATGTCATAACTAATACAATGCCTTAAGCACCAAAGATCCTGGGGAATGTTTGTTGAGGATGGGCAAACAAACTTGAACCTGGGAGTCAGAAGCCCAATGTCAGTCCTAGCTCTGCAGGCAGCTCCTTGTGTGACCCTGACTTGTCTCCTTGGACTCCTAAGTTTCTTCCACTGTATATCATCCCTAACATTCTTTCTGAAGCTGGCTTCAAATCCAAGCCCTGAAATTGATTCTCTGTGTTACATCAGGCACATTCTTTAACCCTCTTAGCCCTCAGTTTCTTCATCTGTGAAATGGATAGAATAGCATTGCTTCACTATTGGCTGTGAGGATAAATGAGATAATGCTTGTAACATGCTCATCTTAGTCCTGCAGTTAACAGCTGCTCTTCTGGTTGTTTTATTATTGCTGTTTAGCTGATAATCATTAGACTTGCTGATGTTTTTGAATATATGAGTTTCCTGGTGCTGCCATAACAAAGGAGTACAAACTGGGTGGCTTAAAGAAAGAAATGTATCATTTCACAGTTGTGAAGGCTAGAAATCCAAAGGCAAGGTGTTGGTTTTGATTGATCCTGATGAGAGTTGATTCCTTCCGAGGGCTGTGAAGCAGAATCTGTTCCAGGCCTCTCTCCTTGCTTCTGGTGGCCTCAGACATCCCTTGTCTTGTCAATGGTACCCTCCCTGTGTCTCCACATCATCTTTTCTCTATGTGTGTCTGTCTCTGCATCCAAATTTCCCCTTTTTATAAGTCACCAGTCATATTGGATTAAAGCCCACCCTAATGACCTCATCTTAACTTGATTACCCTTATAAAGACGTAGTTGCAAATAAGGTCACATTATGAGGTACTGGAAGTTAGGGTTTCAATATACCTTTTTTTTAGGGGGGAGGGGTCCCAATTCAACCCATAACAGATTAATAGCTGTACTCTCTAGAAAATACTTCGCTGAAAAAATGAGTTGGCATTTCTCAATGAAAGAGAAAAAAACCCCACAGCACTTGACAGTGAGTCTTCCCGACTCCACGACACCTGACATTCACAGCAGTTCATTTAACTGGATCAGATGAGTGGAATTTATTTTGACAAAGATCTGCTTCTTTCCACAAAGCAAGTCCCCAGGACCTTTGCCCCAAGTGGTATTTCTCACATGTGCTTTTGGAATTGCAAATCTATCATTTTTAGTTCATGACATTTTTGCAGAACCCCCAGGATGGAAATAACGCACCAGATCTCAGGCAGTTGGCGCGTTCTTTCTCCATTTTTTATAGCACTCTGCAAAGCTCTCATGCTGTTTACATGTGATTTATATTCCTCCTGTGGTCCTAAATGCATATAATAAAAACAGATTTAGAATATTAATTTGACATGGTTCAGACCAGCATGGCCTAATACAAATTTATTTACTGGGGATGGTGAAAAATCTGAAAGGATGAAGTGAGAATCAGTTCTCAGTAAATATTTCTTGCTGATTTTTTACCTCACTGTTTCTCAAAGCGTAGTCCACTGGATTCCTTATGACGTTTGCGGAAGTTGCAGATTTCCAGGCCCCATCCCAGCTCTGCAGGTTCAGAGTCTTTGGGGGAGGGGTGCTGGGATTTGCATTTCTAATGAGCCCCTCATGCCCTGACTGGCTCTGGCCCACCCTGCGTTTGAGAACCACTAGTGTCTGGCATCCCGCAGTAGATATCCCTTGTGTTTTCGGAGTCAAATGAGTTCCAGAGCTGGAGTCTGTCCAGGGCTGAGGGTGAGGAGAGCCAGGCAGACAGGTGTAGGGCAGGGGGTCCAGGGATACCCTATGGGCACGGCGAGGGCAAGCGTGTCCAGTCCTCTGTGGGGTGGCGTCGGCTGAGCTTGGTGAAAGGACAATGTGGGTTTCGGGTGTGACAGGGAGGCCTGGAAAGGTTGAGAGAACGAGTATGTACTTGACAGCAGGTGGGTTGAGCTGGGGAGTGGATTTCTGGCAGCCCTGATGAAGAGATCTGAGCATCCATCTTAGTCCGAGGGTCTGGCAGTGGGGAGAGTTGAAGTGAGTTAAGGTGTCCGGGAGGGGTCTGGCCTCCACCCGGGGGCACTGCTCAGTAAGAAGCTGGGCCTCAGAGCCACTTGGGGAACCGTGTGAAAACTCAGATTTCTGAGCTTGAACCAGTCCCTCTGCATGCATTCTAGAATCTGTTTTCTAAACTCCCCGGGGGAATCTAGTGTGACAGGCCCTTGGAACAGCATTTGGGAAGCACGACAGCCATGAAAAGAACTGACTTTGAGGATCAGTGGACCTGGTTGAGTCCTGGTTTTGTGACCTTGATCTAACCCCACCTGAGACACAGTTTCTTTATCTGTAAGATAAGGATGCAAACACATTTTCCTTCTTTTTCTGATTGTTGTAGGAATTAGGGATAAGGGATGTAACACATTTAACACAGTTTCTGGTACCCAGGAGACATTGTTAAATGGTGACTCCAGACCTTGTGAGAACTGGAATTCTAGAGATGTAATTAGGACAGGGTCTGTTGGACATGGAAATCAACAGATGGACCCACTGATTGGAATTGGGATATAAGGTAGGGTCTTGGCTCTGACAATACTGGGTCTTGGTTTCCAGAACTGGATCTAGAAAAAAAAAAAGCGCAAAATAACATCAATGCTTAAATAGTGTTTACCAAGCAGGTCAGGCACTGTTCTAAGTACTTTATGCACAGCCTTACGGGTTAAGTACTATTGTTATCTCCATCTTACAGATGAGAAAATTGAGGCTCAGAAAAATATGGGCATGATCACATGGCCATTGTGTGGCAGAATCAAATTTCAGGCACAAGCTCTCTGGCTCTGGGTCTTTAGCAACTATTCTTGCCTATTTAAGACAAGTACAAGGTCAGAGTGGCCCTGGAACCACAATGCTGAGTTTCAAAAGTAAGCTGAGCCCTGGGAAAAATGGTCCTGGATATTTCTTTGCCATACATTTCTATATGTAAAATTGTACAGCCACTTCATGCCAAAGTTAGAAAAGCTGGCCTCCTCATAACAGAAGCTGAGCTGTAATAAACCTGCCCTGTTGCCAAAAGCTTGATCTATTCTAACAGAAAACCCATAGCACAAAATCGTCTTGTATTGAAAATCTCTTGCTCGCTTTATATTTCATTCTTGTATAAGACTTGACCCCTTTCATGGGTTAATCAATGCTTCCAAAGGGCCTCTCTGACCACTGCTCTTTTTCACGGGTTTAAGGCTCCCTCATTTGGTATGAATCTGATGTCTAACCAAGATTTCCTCCACATTACACATGAAGCACTGGCACTAATAAACATATTTGTTTAATTCTGAGAGTATTTTGTGAGAATTTCCACATTTCATAACATTCTTCTCTTTCCTTTATCTGTACTCCAGGGTATAACCTTCAGTAGCAGAACAAAGCAGGCCAGTCAGCAAGTTGCCAAGTCCTGCAGACTCCTTGTCAAGGAGAACAGCTGGACCTATTTCTAATCAACGTCTCCAACACAATACCCTTGGATTGCTGCAGGAGACCAGACCAGAATTTGAAACTTTCCAAAGACTTCCAATAGACATTGAGTGCACATGGATACTTAGGTTGCCTTTGAGACAAAGGGGAAGGATACAGGTGTCACGTTCACCCAAGAAGTCTACATTTAAACCTCTGTACATAGAATGGATAATGGTTATTGAAACAACCCAAACCTCTTTCACAGTGCAAGGGATATAGCTCGAGAGGCAAGCAGGCAGTCCCAGAACCAAGGAATGGATGACTACAAATATCATGACAACTATGAGGGCTATGCCCCCAGTGATGGCTATTATCGTGGTGATGAATCCAATCCAGAAGAAGATGCACAGAGTGATGTTACAGAAGGCCATGATGAGGAGGATGAGATCTATGAGGGCGAGTACCAGGGCATCCCTCACCCAGATGACATCAAGGCCAAGCAGACCAAGATGGCGCCCTCCAGGGTGGATGGTCTTCGAGGCCAGGCAGACCTGATGGCCGAGAGGATGGAAGAAGAAGAGCAGCTGGCCCACCAGTACGAGACCATCATTGATGAGTGCGGCCACGGACGCTTCCAGTGGACCCTCTTTTTTGTTTTGGGTTTGGCCCTGATGGCTGATGGCGTGGAAGTGTTTGTGGTGAGTTTTGCCCTGCCCAGTGCAGAGAAGGACATGTGTCTGTCTAGTTCCAAGAAAGGAATGCTTGGTAAGTAGAAATTTTCAAAGGTCATTCTCTTTGTGGCATTAAAATCTGAAGGAGAAAGAGCAGTAAAATTTGTATAGCACGTGTCACTGTTAGGTATCTTAAATCTATCATAGTGTCCTTGCAACGCTATCATTTTACATCCATTTTGCCATTAAGGTATTTTTATCTCAGAGAAATTAATAGGCACAGGTTTACAGAGTTAGTAAGTATTGGAGCTTGGGTGCCTACCCAGATCCGTCTGAGTCCCAAGCTCTTAGTTCTTCTTTCCAAGTCTTTTTTTTTAAAAAATTGAAGTATAATTAATGTACAATATTGTATGTTATGGGTGTACAACATAGTGATTCACAATTTTTAAAGGTTATGTTCTTTTTTCCAAGTCTTGTTGCCTCCTTGAGAGTCTGATTTCTCTCTTTTTCATGTTAAACCATCTTCCATATCCAAATGACAAATTCATTTTGTGTGTGGCAAGCCAGGGGTCTCTTCCACTCAGTCCTTCTCTCTATGTCTTTCCAGAACCTGATAGCATCTGCTCCTGGTTTCTCTTGTATATAAGTGTTAGTGGGCTGAATGCCTGTGTGTCTTGGCGATGAATACTGGGCTGAGCCACCCACAGAGCCCCTTCAAGCTGTTGGGGATCACGCTGTGAAGCACAGATGGATTCCATGGGATGGAGGACCAGCTTTGCAAATCATTGATGAGACTAGCACCATCAGAGCCAAACATCAGATATCAGGGCTTGCGGCACAGAGGATTCTGTGAAGTTAGAGAGAGGATGGGCATAAATTGTGTGGCATAGAAGAGATTCATCAAAATATAGACAAAATAGTCTTGGTAATTAAATGTCCTGCAAAACATACTCATTCTCTAATTTCAGAGTCCATGCAATTGATTGTTTAGCAAATATACAGCTACAGAGAACTTACTGTGAGTCAGGTTCTTACTCAAGACGGAGACATAGTTATGACCCACAAGAACTCAAAATCCATCTAGCAACTTAGTTCATTCACTCAAAAGATATCTCTTACTTGTGTACCATGTTTTAGTCTTTGTGCTCAGGCCCTGGGGAGAAAATATTGAACAAGGTAGATGTAGTCCTTGACTCTCAAAGAACTTACATAAAGTAGGACAAACAGGCATTAACGAACATAGAGAATTATTTGATTATGGTAGGGATACCTGCTATGAAACACTTTGTGCCATTCTGGTCCCAATGCCTGCTTTAGAGCAGGGATTGACAAACATTTTCTCTAAAGCTCCAGATGGCCTCTGTCACCACTACTCAGCTTTGCCTCTAGCACAAAAGCAGCCATAGACAATTTGTAAACTAATGGGCACAACTGGTTCCAATAAAACTTTATTTATAAGAAAAGGCAGTAGGCTGAATTTAGCTTATGGGCTATAGTTTGTTGGCCCCTGATTTCGAGCCACAATAAATAAGATAGGGATATAATATAAAGAAAATATCTGCATAAAGAATTGTCCCTGGAGGCTCTTAAAAATGGTTTTACAGGCTCACAGATATAGAGAACAGACTTGTGGTTGCCAAGGAAGGGGAGTAGGGGAGGGAAGGAATGGGAGTTTGGGATTAGCAGAGGCAAACTATTATATATAGGATGGATAAACAGCAAGATCCTACTGTATAGCACAGGGAACAATATTCAGTATCCTGTGACAAACCATAATGGAATAGAATATGAAAAGAATATATGTATAACTGAGTCACTTCCCCCCCCCCAAAATCAGCCTTAAAGAAGTAAATTCTGACACATGCTAAAACATGGATGAAACTTGAATTGTGATAAGTGAAATATACTACTCACAAACACACACACACACAAATGGTTTTATCCATTCCTGCTTAATTAAAGAGACATTTAAAATGATGAGAACTCTGTCAGATATGGCCATCAGGAAACCAGAAGAGACCAAGTATATGCAAAAAAAGAAATGACTCAATAAGCAAGACGTCACCCAGAGTTTTTAAACACCAACAAAATTTTATTTTTTAAAAATTATTTTTATTATTTTTTTATCAACAAAATTCTGCTGTGTTTCTCTAAGTTTCAATAGATTTTTTAAAAAGGGCAAAAACCAAAACAAAACAAACCCCAACCTCCTGATCAAACCAAACCATCCCCAGTTGATCTAAATATTTCCAAGACCATTATTTTGTTTTGTGACATTCTCAACTGAAACCTTGGGTCCCTATTAGTCCAAATTGGTATGTCAGTAATGCTTTCACACCTTCTTGTTCTCTCTGCTACCCTGGTGCCCAGTAACCTCATTAACAGCATGGTAACAGCTCCTGCTGGCTCCCAGGGCAAATGCTAGCAGTTGAGGGAACATGGTCCCAATCTGTAGAGCCCACATTTGTGCAATTTTACTTTCAGTGTTTGTTATGAAGATGCTATGACTCAGCCCAAGAGGGGCAGGCAGACCCCTGAGCAGAGATGGACTCCCGATGCACTTGTGGGGCCCCCTTTATGGATCCAGGGAGGTGGGTGTTTGGAGGGTCTCATGAGGCCGGCTTTTCCACGTGCTGTCTCATGTCAGCTTCATAGTCACCATGGTGCTTATAGGATTTTTATCCCATTTGTTCACGATCAGGAAACAGGCTCAGAGAGCTGTATTTAATGTCACATAGTAATTGCTGGAGCTGGGATTTCAACCCAGATCTTTCTGATTTCAGGGTCTGTGTTCATTCTACTATACCATACCGCCTTTCTTTCACACATGGTCTTTAGGAAGGACGTCATGCCATGGGGCAGACTTCTTTCCAGTCATCAAGCGTCCCATAGATTACGTGAGCACCATGGATTGCTTCCAACAGAGACATAGCATGGTGTGGGGATTAGTGGTGTGGACACTGGTGTCTGGCCACTAGGGTTTGGCAACTGGCTATATCATTTATTTTCCAATGACCTTGGGCAAGTCATCACTTCTTTAATTATCAGTTTTCCAATATATGGAATAGGGTAATGATACGTCTGTTGTGAAGATTCAGTGAGATAAAGCTGGTAAAGCAATCAGTGCTCCATGCCCCTAAACTACTGTTTGTTCTTGTTACTTTGTATTATGACAGTCTCCCTTCAGCATTTACAGTGAATTATAGTTGCAGTGAGACAATGGAGCAGCCTGGACCCTGCAGCCAGGTGGCCTGGGTATGAGCCCTTGCTCTGTCAATTCTTAGGAGGGTGACTTTGGGAATTACTTAGCTTCTCTGTGCCTTGGTTTCCTTCTCTGCAAAATGGAGATACTAATGGTATCTTACCTCACAGGGTTTTTGAGGACTAAATGGATTTAATTCATTTAACTTGCCTGAAACAGTGCCTGCCCATAATAGGTGCTCATTTTAGTTATTATTGTTGAGGTTGTTATTATTACTAAGTTGATTGCTTGATAATGATGACTCATCCAAATTCAGGACTAGATGTTCTCAGGTGACATTGCATATTTCTTTAACCCAAAGTTATTTATAATAGGCTTTTAAGGTCAAGCTTCCCTACCTTGGCTGGTGAAAAGGCCTTTTCTGTTCAAGTGCTAACCCAGTTCTTTCTTTCCCCTTCCTAGCTGTTTTTTTTTTTTCTTTTAAGACAATATTTTTTTGATAAATTTTAGGTTCACAGACAAATTGAGAGGAAGGTACAGAGATTTTCTTCATGCCCCTTCCCCACACACATACATCATCTCCTCCTATTATCAACATCCTCTAGTAGATGTACATTGTTACAGTTGATGAACCTACATTGACACATCATAATCACCCAAAGTCCATAGTTTATTTTTACTTTAGGGCTCAATCTTGGTGTTACACATTCAGTGGGCCAGACAAATGTGTAATGACATATATCCATCATTACAGTATCATACAGAGAATTTTCACTGCCCTAAAATTCTTTGTGCTCTGCCTATTCATCTCTCCCCGCTTCCCCAACCCCTGGAAACAACTGATTTTTTTTTTTTTTTTACTGTCTCCATAAGTTTTTGTCTTTTCCAGAATTTCATATAATTGGACTCATATAGTATGTAGCCTTTTCAAATTGCTTTCTTTTGCTTAGTAATATGCATTTAAGTTTCCCCCATGTCTTTTCATGGATTAATAGCTCATGTCTTTTTAGTGTTGAATAATATTCCATTGTCTGGATGTATCACAGATTATTTGTCCAGTCACCTACTGAAGGACATCTTGATTGCTTCCAAGTTTTGACAATTATGAATAAAATGGCTATAAATGTCCACGTGCAGGTTTTTGTATGGACATAGTTTTCAATTCCTTTGGGAAAGTATCAAGGAGTGTGATTGCTGGATTGCATGGTAAGAAAAAGTTTGGTTTTGTAAGAAACTGCCAAAGTCTCCTAAAGTGGCTGCACCATTTTGCATTCCCACCAGCAATGAAGGAGAGTTCCTGTTGCTCCACATCCTCGCCAGTATTTGGTGTCTTCAGTGTTCTGGATTTGGTCATTCTGATAGGTGTGGTGATATCCCGTTGTTTTTTATTATTATATTTTTGCGGTATGCGGGCCTCTCACTGTTGTGGCCTCTCCCGTTGCGGAGCACAGTCTCCGGACACGCAGGCTCAGCGGCCATGGCTCACGGGCGCAGCCGCTCGGCGGCATGTGGGATCTTCCCGGACCGGGGCACGAACCCGTGTCCCCTGAATCGGCAGGGGGACTCTCAACCACTGCGCCACCAGGGAAGCCCTATCCCGTTGTTTTAATTTGCATTACTCTGATGACATATGGTGTGGAGCATCTTTCCATATACTTATTTGCCATCTGTATACCTTCTTTGGTGAAGTGTTTATTAAGGTCTTTGACTCATTTTTAAAGAAGGTTTTTTGTTTTCTTATTGTTGAGTTTTAAGAGTTCTTTGTAGGTTTTGGATAACAGTCCTTTATCAGATGTGTCTTTTGCAAATATTTTCTACCAGTCTGTGACCTGTCTTCTCATTCTCTTAACTCTCTTTTATTTTAAAAAGAAACTGGGGGAGTTCCTTGGTGG